TGTTTTTTTAATGAATAAACTCTTTCGAAAGTACGAGGTAAAACTAAAAAATAATTTTTCTCACAAGACATAATCCGAAAAATGGTTGGTGTCTTCGATAAGCAAACTACAGAGTTTGACTTCGCTTTCACGCTTCGGGTTCAGACTGAAAAGAAAATATTTAGTATCGAAATCGTGATAAATGTATGTTGTAAAGTGGTCCACAAAACCATCAAAATGGACTCCGTAGGTAGAAAAAATTTAGTTCATATTTAGGTTTTGTGAAATAAAGAATTATTGGTGAATATTTGACTTGAGTCGCAATTGATTTCGAGTTATGTCTTTAGTTGAGTTAAGTAGTGTTCGCTTTTATAATACATTTTTTTATCAGTTTTGTGGTTATATATTCGTTACTAATATTTGTTATTATTTTATGATATTTTAAATCCTTTGTAGCCGTTTTTTGACTAAGACTCTAAGGGAAGATAGAGATTCGGGGTAATTACTGTCTGGTACATTATGCAAGAATTCTTCCAGTCGAGGATCTATTATGAAAATTTTGAAATAAGTTAATTATGCGAAATTTCGCAACAAGTGAAAAGGTTACCAACATTTAGGAGAGACAAAGCATAAGTCCGACCAAATAAACCGACCAGTACCGATATTATATTTCAAAAATGTTCAACGAAGCTTATTCGCCGAGTCAAAAAATTCAATTCAGATCTCAGTCTGGATGAGTCATTTACGAAACCCAACCTATTGAACAGGAGGACAGGAAAATTTCGCTGAGCTACACCTCTGGAGAAAATGGTTCCTGTGTGAACTTTATATATGCTGTACAAGGTATATTGAGTTCGTCACGAAGTTTGTAACACTCAATAGAAAAGTTTGGTGATTTGATGATCTGAGTCAATTTTCCCATGTTCGTCTGTCTGTATATACCCGACCTATCCCCCTAATTTTTGATCAATCTGGGAGTTTGCATATCTTCTTTGCTGCCCAAGAAGCTTCTCATTTGTTGAAATAGCTCATATCAGAATACTATAGCATATAGCTGGCATATGAACCGAACAATCCAAAACAATCTTTTGTGTGGAAGAATATATTTTTATTTGAAAAAACATATAGTATTCATGAAATTCACATGGATTACTTTTCAAGGCAACTAAAAAATCTTTGGAAAAATTATTCAGATCGGCCCACTATAGCATATAGCTCTTATACAAACTAAACAGTCGAAAGCAAGTTCTGGTATGGAAAAATTTTTCATTTGTAAAAGCTATTTTAGCTCCGGTGGAACAAAAAGTATTTCTTGCTTTTGATAATTATCTTCAAAGCAGATTCTTCCTTCCATTACATTCATCTTCTGATAACAGAGTTTGAAAGTTTAGCTATTAATGTCATAAAAATAATTCGTTTAAGTCGCAAAGATTTCTTCAGATTCCAACGACAATGACGAAATACCAAAATAAGAAAATTATATGCCAATAAGACCTTCTTCCCGTCAAATAACTCAGCAAACACACCAATATGCTGCTACCAATTGTTCCAAACATGTCTATTATCAGATGTTAAACGACAATCAATTCATACATGCAACATTTATAGTAAAAGTGTTCGGGCGAACAAAACCATTAACATTTGTTCTTAATTGTTGTTGTTTTGTCATACGCCATTTGGTCGCATATGTTGCGAGCATTGTCTAAAATTCGCTTTGTTGCTAAATACTAACGGCACACATACCTTTGGCTCAGCCATAGCCGAACGCGGCGCATGTTTGCAAGTGGTTTAACTGCCAACGATTGCCCACTCCAAATGTATACATACACACTCACACAAAGAATCATATACAAAGAGATATTTATGCGCTTGTAAAAACTCAAATTCACACACGCTTGCTGCCTTCTTGCCTCCACACACAGCGTTAAAACCATGCCGCTCACACACAGCCACCTTTCACTCTTCCGCTGCCCGCAGCATCCACTTCAATGTGATTGCCTTTTGTTTACTCTTAAACCGTCGGCTTGTTTATTTGCTTATTTGAAATTTCCTCATTTTTTCCACACACTTCACATAAGCAAACAGGCTGCAATTGCCGTAATGTGGCAAGAAAGCAAGGAAAATGATGCATCATTAATGTTTTCATACTTTGATTGCTCTTCAATGAGCAGGAAACGCATTGGGTGTGTAGGATGCGAATCGAAAGTCGTCGAGTCGAAAAAAGGGTGCAAAGAATTTAAGTGGTTGTTGTTGTTGATATTCTGGCATGCAGCTTGCAATAAACATCTCTTTACATACATTTGTATGTTACTTATAACTGTTGTATTGCCTACATTCATTTGATAATGATTTGTTGTTATTGTGGTTTTGTTTATTTGCATCCTTCAATTATTTAATGAGTTCGAAGGAAATGCGCTGGAAAGGAGTGCAAGCCGTACTCGACGATGTTGAGAGGTATCTCCTTTTATTGTGAGAAAGGGATAAACTTTCATACAATTGTACAGTTGTATGTGTGTTAGAATGCGTTTGTCAGATCATTTTAATTTTATTAGAGAACTTCTATATTTTTTAGCTCTAGTCTACTTTTCTTCACTCGTTCCCGATTTATAATTTCTGCTTTTAGAATAACATGGAAGTTTTCTCTCTTTCAAGTATAAATATGCTTCTGCACACCACCAGAGAGAGATTTCTAGAAGAAATTATTCACTGTGAGTTCTCATACAATTAAACAATAGTTCCGTAAAAAGGAGCGGGCGAAGGAAAATGTTACATATACTAATACTGGAAGATTATACGTGGAAAGGATTCAAAAATAAAAAAAGCTTCTGTATGTTTGTACCTTTTTACCTTTTTCCAGCGTATTTTAAACCAATTTACTGAAACCCCGGCATGGTTACTATTCTGTTATTGATAGACTGTTCTATAGGAACTTGGTGAGTCATTTGGATCAGAAGAAACGGCGCTTTCTTTTTACATGTTTGGGTGAAAAAATGTTTTGATTTTTTTCGCACATGACTCAATAATGGCAAAATCTGGGTCATTGGGCAAATAGCCGCGTCCTTTGAATTTTGTTTAAAATGCTAATTAACATTATAGTAACATTTTTCTTTTATTGACGCCACCTTTTTACATTCTGTGACGTATATTTCGTAGATCTTCTTAATATTTAGATCAGGATTGAAATATTGTGGATTATGAGCTCTGGTATAGTAACTTCTGTTGGCTGGAAATTACTTTATATGCTTTATAAAATTTGTATCATTGTTTTTATTGCTCGCAACGCGACCTTTGCGCTTATCAATCACAGATGTAACTTGTTCATTAGAACATCAATCGTATATCCCCCCGTCACCCACCTGATAAGTGTCTCTAAAATCTTTCTTAGAAACGGTGGTATCAAGTCCCTCTTTTCGGAAGTATGTTATGGAAACGCATGAGATTTTCGTTACTTAGTTTCATTCATAGAACGCTTCCCTTTTATTTCGTTAACTCTGATACAAACTCTAAATACTTTGGTCAAGTTGACTATGTGAACTATAAAATTCTTGCAATTTTGACGCCATCTGCATTGTATATCGACAAAAGATTTTGCAGGTATTAATTTTCCTCCCTATTCCTGTATGCCAAACCTTTTATAGGATTATGCTCTTGTAAATTTCGTATCCATTTAACAGTATTACGACTTTTTCCAAAAATTCATTTATTTTTTTTATAAGTGGTTTCTACTGTAGATCCTGTTATTGTTTAGAGTTGTTTGAATTGTTCCACTGTGAAACCCGTAATCGGTAAGAGTTTTTTGTATTTTTCATGGATGGATGTTTCTACGAGAGAGCTTCTTCTGGCGGTCACTTATTTACGGTGGAACCACTGTTTGCCACCACTGTTTAGAATTGTCTACAGTATTGCTCGACTCAAGTTTAAAATTTTAGAAATTTCACCATATGCCTAAAACACTTTTTTTACTCTCATATCAATGAAAATGGAGGTTGTATACAGATTTTTGTTCGCCACTGTATTTGTACCTACAGATATTTGAAACGTTTTTAATATGCCAAAGCAAACGTCGAAGATTCTAGATGAATCAATTCAGCCATAACCATTAATTTGTCGATCTGTGTATTTATAAGCCAACTATCTCCTGATTTTTGGAGACATTAATCCGAAAAACGCCCCTTTCCTCCCAAGAAGCTCATTTATCAGAAATGCCAATACACGACCATCATAACATATAGCTGTCTTTTTTATTTGCGAAGGGGATTTAAACGAGTTTTTCAATGGCGGCGCTACGCCATATTTTTTACCGCTCTTTTAAAATTTTTCTTTAGTAAAGTTTGCCATTTTGTCATGGAAAGATGAGATCAATAGCAATAGATGATCCAAAAAAGAGTGAGAATTATTCAAATTGACTTCTGAAATTGAGAGTCACTAAACTCAACTTTAAAAGTTAGCATTCAGTAGCTTAACAATTTTCTTATTACCTTGTTTCCTTTCTTATTTCTTATATTTGTCTTTGTTTTATTTGCTTTGATTAAATTCTAGCACCTTCTGAGAAGCAGTGTTTTAAGAAAGAAAGATTACTAAAGGTAAGAAAGTACCAACTCGAATAAATTTCTCCAATTCCCGCTGAGTTCAAAGTAAATAGGAAGGGTTTTTGAACTCAAAGCCTTCCGAAAGGCGACCGCTTTATGCATATTTAAGAATATTTTATCAAAAATGCACAAAAAGACTTAAACCTTAAATGAAATATCTCCATTAAAATAATTAATAATACTAAAAACATCACTTAAGCCGCAATTAATTGCTGCCAAATTTCAAACTAAGCAAATATTTTCGCAAAACTGAATGTGTTTCGACGTCAAAGCCATTAAAGTTCATTCAAAGACAGGAACATCAATCGAAACATTTTCCTTTGGCGACACGAAAATACATTTTGGCACGTGCAGGCATTCATAGCTTCCACTTATTTATTTCTAAAACTCATTTTTATGCCAACTAATAATATATTTTTTATGATTTTTCAGGTGTACGCAGCAGGTCAAATGATACGACCGTTTGTCTACACAACAAAAATGAAGATACTATCAATAGCTAGTCAAAAGGTTCAATCAAACGGGAGAAATTAAATTCGCACGTGTAAACCCCACTTTTCTAAAAACAACAACTGCAACAACAGCAGCGAAAAGCAATGAGCCAACATAAGAAATTCAGGCCACACAGACAACCAACATGAACATGAAAACAAAATAATCAACGAAAGGGAAAGCAAATGTCAGCAAGAACATACTTGCGTTAAAAAGGAAATTAGCTCAGCAACTGAAATTACCACGCTGGAAGTTGGAGAATACGCCTAGCCGCACACAGCACGCTTCCAGCGCAACATAAATTGTTGCTTAGCAACATGTTGCTAGGCGCTGTCGGCAACAAAATAGCAACGCTGACGATGACGGTGTCGTGTTAAGCGAAGTGGAAGTCGCAAGCAACAGACAGGAAAACCAACAAACGAAGCGGCGAACGCGTGAGGGTGTGTAAGCGGGCCTGCATGACTGTGTGTGTGTGTGTGTACTCTGTAGGCAGCGAAGTGACAACATTTGGAGGGCGCGACAAGCAACAGCCACAGACTCAAAGTGGCTGGTGGTGTTGGAGCGCAGCTGTGGAGCTGGCTGGCTGGCTAGCGGTAAAGTGGCGTTCGTGCTTGCTCGTGCGGTTAGTCGTATGCTTGACGGTTCCGGAGCGGGTTTGTGTTAACGGAAGAGCGCAAAGTACAACAAATTTCGTATGCGAACAAATGTGGAATTTATGAAAAGCGAAAGATTGTCGTGTCGGCGGGGTATGGAAAAAAGACAGAGTGAATCAAGTGCTTGAAAATTTTCATGAAGCCTTTTAACGGTACTGCGTGTTTTAAATCGTTGCAATAGTGAATATTTGCATTTATTAAGAAAAATTAAAATAAGCAGAGCTTAAAAAAATTTAAAAAAAAAATAAAATTAACAAAAAAAATTATTTTTAAAAATTATTACGAAAAATAAAAACACAGCAAAAATTAGCTTCATGTAATAGCTTTGAGCGAAAAAGTGCAACAATTCACCACTGCCAAGTGTTTCCACTGATTTTATTAAACTTGCAACATGTACTAAAAATATGCGCTTTAGTATGTATGTATGTATGTATGCAACTGGTGTGAAGCACGTATAAAAAAAATTAAAAAGAACAGAAACTGTGAAAAAGGTTCAAATCAAATTGTGAAAAGTGACAAAGTGTCAACGCCACTGGTGACACTTAGTCTGTCAAGCGCGTATACATGCTCATACACGCACACTCACACACGTGTAAATTAACAATTTAACGCAGCTTGACATTGCCAGCATTGTGGTTGCGGCAACTTTTACCGCTCGACTATCGCTGTGTGTCGGTCTGTCCGTCGCACTGTCTGCTTGCCGTGTTCTTCGCACTTAATTAATGTCAAGTGGGCATCACTTGCATTATGCAATTTAAGGCGACAACGCGTTTCGCGTACGCAAACTGCAGCAAAATTAACAACAACAACAACTCGAGCAATTACAGCGAAAGCAACAATAACAACAAAACTGTCACAGAACGTCGTGATTTCGTGTTGATCTATGCACAGCTACATGCAAATCAACAACAACAATCAGAGCAACAACAAAACAAAAAACTCGTGCAACTTGGCGTGGCACACAAAATGCAAACTACAACAAATACAAATACGGAACTAAACTGCATTTGCGCGTTACCACGCGGCAACAACAAGAACAACAACAACAAAAGCAGTTGCAATAACAACCACAGCAAAAACTTCAACTCACAAAGTGACGCGTACACCAGCACAGCCGCGACAAGAGTTTGCAACATGGCAGCTGCCACAATCCCAACAGCAATGACCGATGACAGTGGGTGTTGCAAGTGTGCACGCAGCAACAATATGCAGCATTGCGGCAAAGATGTTGATTACATTACTGCTGCCGCCCCAGCTCCGGCCGCGGCAATGGCGGTGGCGTGCGCCGAACGATCAACGCCAACACAATGTTGCAAGTACAACATGCAAGACAGCCTTAGCAAGTACAATAAGAACAATCAGCACAACAGTGCAGTCAACTGGAAAAACAATTTTGTGGCAAGTGAAAGTGCGAAGAAAGATTGCAAACATTCCGCAGTGATTAGAAGCATTGGCTGTGGCAGCGGCGAAAATTTACTGGCAACAGCAGCTGAAATTAAAACTAAAACAACAACAAAAGCAACCAGCATGCATACCGCATTCGACATTGGCAACTGGAAGAGCATATGTGCTATGATTTTGTTGTTGTTCAGCTTTACATGGCATGGTGAGTAGAGTTCTTTCAAGATCTCTTTGAAAATTTAGCTTAAAAAGTTATGACTAACTAAAAAAAGTAGATTACTTGTATTTCACTCAGCCGATCACGTCTAAATCTATAATGCTCAACCGAGTAATGCGACAGTAAGTTTTAGTTTAAGTTTTCTTTTTTGAAGAAAAGATATTGAAATTATCGCATAGTAAAGATTTATTCGCCAAAAGCAGCTGTTAGCTTCTAATTTTTATAATACCATATAGTAACTTTGTGACAGCTGTTCACGCGACTAATATTAAAAGCGTAAGTTGGCCCTCGAATACACCAACTGATGAAATTTTGTCTAGACTGACAAAAAAAAAATAAACTTAAACAGCGAATCTCAGTTTTTTTCAATTTTGGAACAATTTTTGAGCGCCATTAGCAAGATTTTTGTGCAGTTTAGACCTCATATTCATGAACTCACGTCTCGTGACCAATACCGATGCATTTGATGAATGAACGAAACAGTCCTTAGCTACGCTCTCGAGCATTTCTTCCTCGAAGTCGAATCTGCAAAAATTGCAATCTTTTGGTATGTGTCTTGACATGTTTTATACCCAAAACTGCAACCAAAATATGATCAGTTGGTCCATAAAAGGGAGCAAAGCTTTCAATGATTTCATGACCTTCACCGTATGCTAATCAAACACTTGTGTTTACGAATGAAATTTGATCGATTTAGTTTGCGCGCAGTTTAAATGGATATGGTAAATTTCATCAGAGATTATGGCTAAATCGAAAAATTTATAAAAAAAAAAAAAAAATAACCCCTAAAAATTGTAAATTAAACGAAAAATATTTAAGTATGCATTAATATTTATTTTGTCGCCTACAAAGTAATCTCCCCCAAATGAAATACACTTATGGCAACGCTTTTTCTAGTTCTCGAAACACTTTTCATAAGCACTTTTTGTGATGGCTCTCAGCTCCCTCAGCGAATTCTGTTTTATTTACTCGATCGACTTAAAACGAGTTCCACGGAGAGGCAGTTTGGAAACAAGAAAACATCATGCGGATCCAATCTGGTGAATACGGTGATTGATCTATGGTATTTATTGCGTTTTTGGCTTTAAATTCAGTCGCTATCGTGGCTTGATGCGTTGATCCATTATCATCGTGTAAAATTCATGAATTCTTCTTCTACAATTCCGGCCATTTTCGAAGAATGCTCGCAGGCAAACGCCTCAATACACTAAATAGAACTGCTTTTTGACCGTCAGTTCCTTCGGAATAAATTCATGGTGCACCCAAACACGAATATCGAAAAAACCAATGAGCATCAATTTGCCTTTAGAACGGTTTTTTTGGTTTCGTCTCGTTTTTCCCTCCATTCCGACTGTTTTATATGCCTCTTCGGCAATTAAAATGTTCCTCATGAATGTGAGATAGGCTAAGAATGCACACGATCAAGCATGTCCTAAGAGACCAGTTTACGCCACTACTATCGAAAAACATTCAAAATTTTCGGGATGAGTCGAGAAAGACCCAAAATCTATCAAAATCATTCGAACGGACTCACGAGAGATGTCGAGTTCTCTTCTCATATTTTTAACACTTGTGTGAGGAAAGTCTTTGAAGGTTTGTGTGTTTGTTAAAACTGAATCCCCGTAAGTCTTTTCCAATACTCGCAACGCTTTTGTACAAGAAATTTTGTTGGAAATAAAAAACATTCGCAACGCTTCTGCAAGAAATTTTGTTAGAAATTTTGTTAGAAATAAAAAATTTAGACAAATTTGAGACTAATTTTTTATTCGATATTTTTATGCATTGTTATGTACTATAAGTCTTTTCATAGTTCCATGAAACACAGGCTATAAAAGAAGAGAATACAAAGCACGAAAGTTTTTTCATAAGATTATTAAATTGTTGATCTTTTTTTAAAAAAATTTTGAAAATTCTTCTATGCTATTAATAGTGGCTATGAAACTATCAATCAGGGTGAAACAGTTTAACCATTACAATAATAATATAGCTTTAAAGCTCATACTAAAAACATCAATTTTAAGGAAATCTTCAAAGCTTAAAATGTAAAAGCTCTCAGTACCTTTGCCGCAATATATCAAAAATAATATTTTTTACAGAAGATGCAATCAAAACTCTAGCAATTCCAGGTGTAAGTAATTCTCAATTTACCAAATTACATATAGCAACAAAACTATTCGGTCATTTACCGTTAAGCGCAGCTACGTTTTATCTCCAAAGCTGTCTCTTTAAGCCATAAACAACACATAAACAAACCCAGAAAGACATATAGCTATAGAGCAGAGACTAAATAGCTCTCAATCAAACGTTTTGCTGCAGTGTCACAAACAACTAAGACAACAACAACAATAACAGTGACATGCAATCTACACTACACTTTCAATTGAAATGGAAAAATGCACACGAGACTGGATTTGCGAGCATTCATGTCTGTGTATGTGTGAGTGTAGTGTGTCTGTGTTCAGAGGAAATAAGAGGAAACGATGCAATGTGGCGCCACACGACGACGATCGAAACGCCAAAAGCGAAGCGGAAGGAAGGCGCAACAAAGAGCAGTCGAGTCTACGAAACAAATCAAACGTGCAAATGCCGAAGCAAAGCAGCGACGGAAAAGAAGAAGAACACTACAAAGTAGTGATGAAGAGCAAGTAAAAACACCAACCACAGCAACAACCAAAAGGAAGCAAGTTTATACACAAAACAGCAACGAGCAGCCAGCAATTGAATGAGACACAGCGTCGTCAGTGCCGCCGATTTCGCCGCTGCCGGCTGCCGTAAAACAGCGAACATCAACCACCAAAGGCCACACCCACTTTCACCACTAATGAATGGCGTCATCGACGGCAGTGGAGTCGAAGCCACCAAAGGCAGCACGCGAATGCAATGAAAAACGGCAAAAAAAGTGTTGCACTAAAAAATCAAAGAAGGGACCCAAACGGGAGTGTGGATGCAACGCTTAGCCGTGTGTTTAAGCCAAATTGTGAGATAAACTGGCACTGAGCGCGCACACACACTAAAGCACGTCAGCCAGCAAACGCTTGTGTGCTTATGTAACGTTAGACAGCATGCGAGATCACGCAGATACGCCAGCGACACGGACACCCACACACACGAGTGCTCACAGCGCTGCAAGTGTCTGCATTGGATTCACACAAAATAGCTGAAAGCTTGCTTAGTTGGACATCGAAGGCAAATAACTATGTGCCCTCTCCATATATACATATACATATGTTTGTGCATGTGTGTGGGGGTCACTAAGCTGCTGAATGCGGAAACGGCTGCTTTATTACGCCGGCATTCAAGATGAATTTCTTTGCATTTTTCGCTTTCGTTTCACCGCCTTTTTCTTCCTGTGATTTGGGTTGGAATTTCTGCTGATTGTTGTTGCTTCACTAGTGATATTTGCTTGCCATGCCATGCGTGTGGCAGAAATGCAGCTGTGTGTGTGTGTGTCCGGGAAAATAAAGTGCTGCGCAATCAATGAAGATTGTAACTGGCAAAAATGCAATAACCGAATGCGCAAATGAATGAGGCAGTTCGAGTGAAAGAATGAGTGGATGAATAAATGAAAGATTGGCATTGCACCGGGGAATTGGGGGTTGGAAGAAATTTAGTGAAGAATCTGTCGATTTAACTGAGTTAGTGCTAAAATGTGCTTTTACGGTGGTTCATTTTCAATTCGGTGGTCAACTCTTAGTGCGCTGAAATATAGCGTTTCAAGTTTGACGCGGCTTAATATCACTGAAGGACTCGTTGATAAACGCCATTTCTAATTGAAAGGCATTTTATGAATGAATATTGATCTCAATGGTAATAGTAGTCTAGTATGATGAAGTGTCATTTGTATGCACCCTTAATCTTTTAATGAGTCAACGTTTTAGATATCATAAGACTTGAATGTAAATATTTCTAGCGCCCGCTATCCAGCGGTCTAGATATCTAGTAGTATAATGCAAGGGATCAGCAGAGCTCCAGCTGTTACCATTCTATCTTTCCTTGTAAACATATCTGTTTTATATACAGTTACTTGCGATTTCATTGTGGCCTGATGTCTAAAACAATCTTATCCAGTTGAAATAATATGCCGTTGATAGTGAGGTTGGACATACCCCAAATAGCCTTGAGCACAGGCTCTGCGAGTTTACTGCTAATGCTCTGCTACCGAAGTGGAAAGTAACTTCTTGGAAGAAAGTCGGAACAGTAGATCTACTATCGAATGAAATTCAGCAGCATCGACTTGAAAACGGCGCAATAGGGAGGGGCGTTGGGTGGTGTCCCAGTAAACAACTAAAAAGTAACTTTTGAGCGTTCAAAGCTTTTTTGATAGTTTTAACGGCATTGATTGAGATGAACTTCATCCCTATATACAATTTTCCCTACATACAATTTTGAATCGCGTAATTTTAGTTTTTTACAATATATATACTATATCTGTAAAGATAAAAATCTAGAACCACAAATGATCTGTCTTAAAATCCCAATATTAATACCAAGATATACTATATATGTGATTCTTTAAGTTACAAAAGATAGCGAGATGTCAACACAATTTTGTTCATAGAATAACTCATTCGCTGGTTCCATTTGATACAAGTTGTGAGCGGCGACTATTAAGAGCCAGAATTAATTTCGATATCGCAGAAACGCACCTTTGACACTGCAAAGGACAGGAGAAGGCAAAACATGGAGGTCATCAAATTATCTCAGATATTTCGTTGTTAAACGTCAACAGTTCGCTGTTATTCTGAAGCTAATAAGCGGCGGGATTGACTATTTTTCCTGTCGGCTATTCGCGAGAAACGTAGAATATCTGCTTTACCACATAGATACAAATAATTATTCATATACACGGGAATATATACACATATATACAGGTAAAGTTAGATTGCTAAGGCGACAGTTTTCATTTCAGTCGGCGGTTGCAGGCTGCGGCCAAAATTTATTACAAAATTTCCACAAAAAATGTGTATTTGATAAACGCAGAAGCAGAA